TAATAATAATTACTGCAGTTATTTATAAGAAAACTACTTCTTTACAAGTGTTAATAGCATTGAGAGTAAGTACTCTGGCTGATATTACAGAGTATATAAATTGGCTTATGGTATGGGTTTTAGATATGCTAATGCAGCATCCAGAAGAGACAACAGGCGAAGAAATGTATGCTTGCTAGGTAACCCTTTTGTGAAGTTGGATGGTGAGTTGGGGAAAAAAAATAATGTTTAAACTTAGAGAAACGGTTTGGAAAACAAGAACACAGAAAGCCATTAGCATAGCAGTAAAAAGTACTACCTAGCTATGTGACCTTACTTAATTTCTCTTTGTCTCAGTTTTCACCACCTGAGAAAAATGGAGACAGTAATACTGAACAAGACTGTTACGAGAAATTAGAATTAATATTTGTACATTGCTTAGAACAATGCCTGGAATACAGTGAGTACTATGTAAGTGTTTGTTAAACCAAAAACAATGATAAGAATGGCTGAAAATACATAAAATGGCCTGTTAGGAAAACTTTAGAGTCAAGATTGGCAAGGTGGCCTTCTAGGAACACAACCTGGAAAGCTACCAGGCTCATTTGTTCATATGACAACTTGGAATCCTCTTATGTACAAGGTGAATTGCTGTACCCATAAAGAAAGCTGACTCACATTTGGAATGACAGAGATGGATGAGAGGCTAAGGCACAAAGAGCCCCAGTTGAGACTGGAAATATCATAGATAACATGATACCCCTTCCTGTGGGCTTCCACAGCATTCCCTAATTACTTCACAGCATCTTGGGTACCTGTCAATTGTATGTAAGTATCTGCCCAAGGCAGAGCTCCCTGAAGGTGGAGGCTGAGTCTTGTTCACTGTGGAATTCCCCTCCTACAGTGCTCAGTAAGTATACGCTGCAGTCAAGCCAAAGTTGAGTAATAAGATTAGACCTATAATGACTGAGCACTTAGTACCTGGGCCCCTGAGGCTCCACACCCTACTTTTAACCCTCCATACTGCTCTAAATAGCTCAGTGTTAATGAGTGGGAAGGGAGACTGTTATCTCAAGAACATGGCCCTGTGTAAAATCCTAGTCTTTTCTGTAGTGGTGGCTGAAAACTACCCAATAGTAAAACTGGCTGAGAAGCCTTCTGCTTAGGGACTTCCTCCAGTCACACTTCTCAGTTCATCCACAAATACCTCAATGCTGCCACAAACAGAACTCACCAGCTTTGCAAATGAGTAGAATTTTTCTTCCTTCTTTCTACAGCTATCCATCTTGCAAATTCCTTTCTGTGCTTTCCTTGAGAATATCTCTGTCATACATCCCTCTCACTAATCTCTCAGCCACCACTTCAAGAATCACACTTGGATTACCACTGTAGTGTCTTACTGTGAATCAGCCTACATACCACTGAAAGATACAGCTTCCTAAAATACAAGTTTCATCACATTTCTTTCCTGTTCACGATCTAGGTTCCTTATTTCTTACTTTTACCTAATCTACTTTGGTTATCAAGAACCTCCATACTTTGGTTCTAGCCTACCACACTTCCTACCAAAGCTTCCAAACTCATTCTGTGAGATTAGCATTACTCTGATACCAAAAGCAGAGAAGGACACCACACACACACACACACACACACACACACACACACACACACACACAAATTATAGGCCAGTATTACTGATGAACATAGATGCAAAAATCCTCAACAAAATATTAGCAAACTGAATTAACAAGACATTCAAAGAATCATACACCATGATCAAGTGGTATTTACTCCAGAGAGGCAAGGTAAGTTCAACATCTGAATACCACTCAATGTAATACACCACATTAACAGAATGAAAAATAAAAATCATATGATCACCTTCATAAATGTAGAAAAAGCATCTGACAAGATTTGTTACTCATTTATGAAAACTCTTAACAAAGTGGGCATAGAGGAAATGTACCTCAACATAACAAGCCATATATGACAAACCATATATGACAAACCCACATCTAACATTATACTCAACAGTGAAAATCTAAAAAGTGGAAAGCTTTTCCTTTAAGATCAGCATCAAGGGTGCCTGGCTGGCTCAGTCAATAGAACATGTGACTCTTGATCTCAGGGTTGTGAGTTTGAGACCCACATTGGGTGTGAAAATTGCTTAAAAATAAGATTTTTTTTTTTTAAGAAATTGTCTAAGATCAGAATCAAGACAAGGATGCCCACTCTAGCCATTTTTATTCAACATAGTACTTCAAGTCCTAGCCATAGCAATTAGGCAAGAAAAAGAAATAAAAGCCATACAAATTGGACAGGAAGAAGTAAAATTGTCCCTATTTGCAAATGACATGATACTATATGTAGAAAACTCTAAAGACTCCACCAGAAACTGTTAGAACTAATAAATGAATTAAGTAAATATGCAGGGTACAAAATTGATGTATACAAATCTGTTTCATTTTTATACACTAATAACAAACTATTGGAAATAAAATTCAAGAGAACAATTCCATTTATAATCACACCAAAAAGAATGAAATACCTAGGAATAAATTTAACCAAGAGGGTGAAAGGCCTATAAACTGAAAACTATAAAACATTCATGAAGAAACTGAAGGAGACACAAATAAATGTAAAGATATTGTATGCTCATGGATTGGAAGAATTAACATTGGTAAAATGTCCATACTACCCAAAGCAATCTACAGACTCAATTCAATTCCTATCAAAATTCCAATGACATTTTTCACAGAACTAGAGCAGGTAATTCTAAAATGTGTATGGAAACACAAAAGAACACGATACCCAAAATAATCTTGAGAAAGAAGAACACAACTTAGAGGTACCATACTCCCTGATTTCAAACTATATTACAAAGCTATAGAAATCAAGAGTGTAGTATCAGCATTAAAACAGACACATAGATCAATGTAACAGAATACAAAGTCCAGAAATAAACCCACACACATATTGTCAATTAATTTACAACAAAGGAGGCAAGAATGTACAATGGAGAAAGAATAGACTCTTCAACAAATGGTGTTGGGAAAACTGGCCAGCTACCTGCACAAGAATAAAACCGGAGCACTATCTTATAACACCATACATAATAATTAACTCAATATGCATTAAAGACTCAAATGGGAGACTTGAAGTTATAAAACTCCTAGATGAAAACATGGGCAGTAAGCTCCTTCATGTCAGCCTTACCAATTTTTTTTTTTGGCTCTGACTCAAGAGGCAAGGGAAACAAAAGCAAAAAATAAGCAAGTGTGACTACATCAAACTAAAAAGCTTCTTCTGAACAGCTAAGGAGACCATCAACAAAATGGAAAGGCAACCAGAGAATGTGAGAAGATATCTGTAAGTCATATATCCAATAAGGGGTTAATACTGAAGATATATAAAGAACATGTACAGCTTAATGCCAAAAAACCAACCAACCAACCAACCCATACAATCTAATTAAAAAATGGCAGGGGATCTGAATGGATATTTTTCCAAAGAAGACATACAGATGACTAATAGGCACATGAAAAAGATGCTCAACATCACCAAGCACCAGGGTAATGCAAATCAAAAGCACAATGAAATATCACCTTACACCTGTCAAGATGGCTATTATGAGAAAGACAAGAAATAACAAATGTTGGTGAGGATGTGCAGCAAAGGAAATACTCATGTACTATTGGTGGGAAAGTAAGTTCGTGCAGCTACTATGGAAAACAGTATGGAAGTTCCTCAAAAATTTAAAATAGGACCAATATATTATCCAGCAATTCCATTTCTGGGTATTTATCCAAAGAAAACAAAAATGCTAATTTAAAAAGATATATGTGCCCCTATGTTCACTGTAGCATTATGTACAATAACCAAGATATGAAAATAACCTAAATGTCCAATGACAGATGATAAAGAAGATAAAGAAGACTTGGCATACACACACACACACACACACAGACACACACACACACAGGAATACTACTCAGCCATAAAAAATGAAATATTGACATTTGCAACAACATGGTAGACTTTGAAGGCATTACGCTAAGCGAAATAAGTCAGACAGAGAAAGACACAAATTGTATGATTCCACTTAACATGTGGAATCTAACAAAACAAAACAAACAAAACATAACACCCCAGACTCATAGATACAGAGAACAGTTTGGTGGTTGCCAGAGGGGAGGAGGGTTGGGGGTGATATGGATGAAGGGGATTAAGAGGTACAAACCTGCATTTACAAAATAAGTAAGTCATGGGGATGTAATGTACAACATGGGGATACACTCAATGATATGGTATGAACTTTGGAAGGTGACAGATGGTCACTAGATTTATAGTAGTAACTGTTTCTGCAATGTATACAAATGTCAAATCACTATTGTACTAATATAATATTTTAACTGCTATAACCCAAACATGCCCACTGAGGATGAGGGCAAAGGAAATGGCTCTGACGAGGCTCCGTGTGGCATTAAGAATGAGAAGACCTGCTGCCATCAGCTTCAGATTTTTGTGTTTCCACAACTCAATAAAAAAGGCATGGGCCAATGACAACTAGATGTAGACTGTGGGCTACTCCACATTACAAGTCTGATGCCAAAATGCTTTACACAGTCCACCTAACAGATGGCAATGTATTTCAGCCATTACCAATGCGAGTAGGATTCAAACCAGTGACCCCAGGGGTGAGAGGTTGTATATCCAATTACAAATTCCCACTTTCCTTAAGTGTTAAGATGCCTAAGGCAATATATTTTATTTACATCAAGTTACATTGTATAAACTATATTTGATAAAAGAGATGACTTCACGTTCTCAACTTAAATCAAAGAATGCTTACTTAAGTATTTTTTTTTTAATTGAATCACACTTTAATGCCATCGTATAATCTTTTGGTTAACAGGGCTCATCTTGATTATTCTAACAAAGGGAAACATGGAAATTAATACTTAAGTTGTAGAGCTTATGTCATCTATAAAATTACACATTAGAAAATTCAAAAGAGATACCTGGGACATCTGTGAAGGTTTCTCCAAGGACAGACACATGGAAATTGAGTCTTAAATCCTTAAGGTGCATTAATACTTTAAAAAAACTCTCTGGATCTTTATCATGCTCCCTGGAAATAAACACACAAAATATTACTTGTGAAACCTTAGGGTATGTTAGAAACGATGTTTTCCCTTTTCGCAGTATCAATTCCTTTTGTGGTCTGTTGCTAGTTAAGGGAGCCTCAGGCATCCAAGCGGAGATTTCCCCCTATAACCTTAAATTGTAGCATCAGCATTGAGTGATTTCATGAATGTAACTTCTCTCTCATGGATCAAAACCCAGTTCTATTGAAATCTTAAGGCTCTGAAGCCTTTTATTAAAGGAGAAATCTATCTTGTTTTTCACATTTTTTTGGTTAGACTATAGAAAGTCTAGTGTATTTTCCTTTCTCCTAAAATGGTTAATTTTCCACTTAACACAGGTTTTTAACAAAAGAAAAGACCAGTCTTCAAAGGACGATTCTCTACTGATCACGAGAATGTACCAAAGATGTTTTTCATTTTCATGGGTCTGAATACCTTCCTCTCACATTTACTGAGCCCCTTTGTGCCCATAAGGAACGCACAATTTAGGGAGCAAGATTACAGACTCTCTCACTAATCTCTCATTTTAAATAATTGAATGGAGAATTATAAATACATCAAAAGGGGGTAGGCTCGAGTCTAAGTCCGCTGAGTATTAACTCAGGAGTGGAGGTTAGTCAACTCATAAAAGAATAGTAATAAAGATAATTCTTTCATTTAGTAGAGGCTTTGAAAAACATGGATTATTTTTGTTTGTTTAGCTTGTCAGTCTTCTTTATGACAGAATGAAAGGTTAAAGGACACTAAAATAAAAAAAAATTCATCAGTTCAAGAAATCACATTAAAATGAAGTGAGTTATTTTTTACATTGTAAGGTGTGAATATTTCAGTATTTTTTGCATTTAATTGCACTGTTTTAAATTATCTTATTTCAGACAGATGTGGACCAGATGTCTTCAAAATATTTGTTTTTTATTTATAATTCAGAATTTTAACTTATTTTTATATTACAGAGAAATAGTTATATATCAGCAATTGAATTTCTCATTTACCAACTAATTATGTAAAATAAATCTGTAAATTGATCAAACTGCTATAAGAAATATGAAAATTACATCATTCAGGAAATCTCATGAAAAATGACATCTGCAGCCCTAAATGTGTTAATTCACAATTCAGTCAATATTTTCAGTATCAAGAATTAAAACAAATGCATCTTCTGATTAACATTTTAAAACAGCATTTATAATCTTATGGAATTATAAGATCTTATAGAATCTGTAACAACTTATTTTAAGCTCTGTATCTCTTGATTTGATTCACTTCAAATAATAAAGAACGCAATGGTGAAATTTTGATCGCTTTTTAAAATGATGCATATTATATGCATGTACCATTGGGAAGTTTTTGGATAGTTCTCATATATACTGTATATGCTGTGGGCAAGAAGAAAGACTCAAAACAGTTTGAAAGTAAAGAATACACCTTATGCTATCTTCAACTATATCAATCAAATAGCTGCCACCTAATCTGTAATATGTTCTTTTAGTCTGATTCTCTGGGAAGTACTTAGTGGAAACAATATAACATAATATATCTTAAAGAGAGAATAAAACTACAGGGAAATCTAGCCACTCTATTCTCTAAATTTTTCATATTGAGTTCCAAAAATTTTGGCTATAGATCCTCAAGAGAATATTTATTCTAAATATTTCCTGCTGTTTTGTTTGTTTGTTTTGTATTAAGCTTAAAATAGATGCAGTTTGGGGTTGGGAGGAGGCTTAAGCGGGTAGAAGCTGTAGTTCTGAAAAGATTCCAATGAGTGTTTTCAAGGCAGCAGGCTTTATGAACCTGCACTTTCAGTGTTTCCATTCAAGATAAATGCATTACAATCCTACTGTATCCTTTGGATTTTTAAAATTTTTTTATTATGTTATGTTAACCACCATACATTACATCATTAGTTTTTGATGTAGTGTTCCATGATTCATTGTTTGTGTATAACACCCAGTGCTCCATGCAGAACGTGCCCTCTTTAATACCCATCACCAGGCTAACCCATCCCCCCCCCCCAGAATCCTCAGTTTGTTTCTCAGAGTCCATAGTCTCTCATGGTTTGTCTCCCCCTTCGATTTCCCCCCCTTCATTTTTCCCTTCCTGCTATCTTCTTTTTTTTTTTTTTAACATATAATGTATTATTTGTTTCATGTTTTTATTCAATTTACTTAAATGAAAAATGAAGCAGTTCACCCATTTCTATAGATATTTTTATAGGTGGACAAAAGCTTTCATATTCAACAGTCACTTTGCATAAGAACACAAAAGAGATTTGTATGAATCCCTCTCTTATTTAAACTATAATATATGGACGAATATAAAGTGAGATTTTTCTTCCCCAAAATTATCCCTCAGGAAAAGAGGCATTTTATACTAAAGGCCTTCTAACGTCTCTCATAATACTGGGCACTCTCTCAATTACTTTATTTTGAACAAAGCACTGTTTAGGGAAGTTGCATTAACCTGAAACAATGCGTAGTGGTTAACAGTTTTGGATGGTGGCAGCAGTCATTCACTCTGGGACTGGTAAAAACAGAAGCAAAGGAATTTAATATCGTCTTAGTAATTATTTTGAGAGACATGACCTAACAGTTCAAAGTGTTGGACGTTGTTGAAAGCAAGTATTTTAAAGATCACTAAAAAAAGTAATAGAATAGGTGGTTATTGGAGATTGTGAGTAGTAAGTGGGTTTTTCTAGCTAAGGAAAAGATTTCCAGTGATGACAGTTTCCCAAGTCTTGCACCCCAAGCAGCTTAGATGGGGTTCCAGATGACAGGTGTTGGAAACACGCAAGCTTCCTGAAAAGATGGCACCCTCCATACTGATGTCAAGAATGCACGGAAGGGGAGTTGGGCTACAACTGCTTCATGAAATGTAAGGGTGGGAAAAGAGCAATACTTCTAAAATGATTTTACGTGATATGCGCTTTAAAGTACTACTTATGTCTAAATTAGTAGATCATATAAGTAGATACTTTATTTCATTTATGTCCCTCAAAGTTACATAGTGAATTTTGCTAAATTTTTTCTCAGTTTTCTCTTTAGAAAAATGAGAAATTTCCTAACATTCAGATGCTCATTAGATGCTGTGCACAGATATTTAGCCAGAGCCATATATCAAGGTGTGAATGTCAGTCAATGGCAGAGCTCAATATATTTTGATGAGTGAGGAACTCATTCCAAATATCCAATGGGTCATCCATGGAATCTATCCCAGCATCCATGATATTAATGAACCCATTTAGCAGAGCATATGAATCTGTCTTAGATTTCTTCCTAAGAAATCTAATGTGAAGCTCTCATATTTATAATTTTAGCACAAAGCATCAAATACCACATTGCATTAAAAATAACGCTGTAGAGGGGCGCCTGGTTGGCTTAGTCGGTAGAACGTGTAATTTCATGATCTTGGGGGTGTGAGTTCGAGCTCCACATTAGGTGCAGAGATTACTTAAAAAGAAAATCTTAAAAAAAATGCTATTGAAGTATATCTCTTGACATGGAAAAATACCTGAGAAATACTGTTAAGTAAAAGGGAAATGACAGACTAGTATTTATCACATGAACTGCTCTTATAAGACAAATGGGTGTGTGTACCTAGAAAAAAATTCTAGGATCAACTATATCAAAATGTTAACAGGGGTTGTGTTAGGTTTCTCCCCCTGCCCATGTTTTCTATTGTTTAATAAAGATTTTTAAATATAAATCATTTTTAATGCTTTTAAGGAACTACCCCCCCCAACATTCTACCACAAAATTGTATTCATAGGATTTTTGGCTAATGTTGTACCATTTGCAGTATGTATAGTAGCATAATTCCTACTTTCTTGTGACCCCTCTACATTTGACAGCTGCCCATCAAGCAAACTTGATTGATCAAAAAACATCCTTGAAGATGAGTCCAAGTCCAGGCTTCCCACAATGCCCTCACCCTTGAATAGGTAAGAATGAAACAGTTTGGCTGGGAACAAGCTCCTCAGCAGCCCAAATATGGCAGAAGCGACCAGCACGGAAATATTTCAGGCTTACTGGAAGCAGCAGATATAGCAAGAACAGCTTTTATTCCCAAATATTATTCAGAACATTTGAAAAGCATAAACTGTTTCCATGTGTTTTTTCTTCCTATATCTGTTCTCTCTCTGTTGCCTTTCCCGTTTAGTTTTGTAGAGCTAAATTTCTTCTTATTCCTCATTTAACATTCGTTCAGTAAATATTTATTGAGGATTTCTAAGTTCTCCATACTTGTCACTTACACTAAACTGTTACCCTTTCCTATTTTCCCACATAACTTTATCCTTACAGAATGCAATCTCTTTGATCTCGTTCCTTGCATTGCCTGGGCAGAAACCTGGCTCTTTACCCATATGCTATTGTTTCCCAGCAGCATGTCACTGTGGACTGAGAGTTCCGTGAGGGAAAGATAAAGGATGCCTGGTTTGTTCATTATAAGTACCCAGTGCCTTGCCAAGTAGTGGAAGACTTTACTTCTGTTCCTCAGTATCTGGTTCTTTTCTGCCCACACAGAAGACTCCATGGTCAACTCCTCCCCGTAGGGGAGGCCACAGAACTCGTTCTGGTCAGTGGGTTGCAAGCTCACTGATTTGTGTCACTTCCAGAGAGAAGCATCTAAGAGTAGTTCTGAATAGCACTTTCTTGGGTGCAGTAATCCTTGTGGAGATCTTGTGTTACGACTGTTAGGTTAAAAGAGGGAGGCGGTCTGGACTGCTACGTGGAGGCAAAGCCACCTAACCATGTAGCCGACTTTGAGTTAGTGAGGTAAATAAACATTTGTTGTGTTAAGCAACTGACATGGGGGAGGGGTGTTCATTACTGCAGCATAATGTGACCTATGCTGACTAATACATTATCTGTGGCATAAAATTACCTGCTCAAAAAAATATTTGTTGAATAAATGAAGGAATGGAAAAAAATGAATTACATTTGTAGAGCTCCTGCTATATGTTCACAATTCCAACCCAGGCACCGGA